TTTTTGTCTATTTATTATTACTGCCATAAATATTCGTTCCGTTCCTGATTAGCTTTTCAATTGTATTATACTCGATTAATTTATAAGTAATATATGCTAATATTAATTACATGCAAATGTGACATTTGACAATTTATACTTCTTAAAAATAAATAATATAAAATTGGAGGTAGCTTTTAGTACGGGCCTCAAAACAGATATTTTGCAAATTAATCAAACAGTGTCACCAATCCTTTAAAAACCCATGCAATTTATGCGAAGATAACAATTTATTTCTATATGCAGAGAGAAAAAATGGGAATATATTTTGGTGTTTTCGTTTTACTTGGGTGTTTCACTAACATTAGTGGTAAGACTTAATTTGATTCTAGAAAAACTAAAACCCTTCAATAAAATGTTATAAGTTCAATTAAAATTTCGTTTTACGAAATAAATCATATTAAACACAATCTGCATTTTTGTTGAAGATGTTGATCAAATAGAAATTTATTCCTTAGAGATATTGGCCCCTAAATTTTTTAAAAAAATGCAATATAAATCAAATTTCGGACACAAAATTGGTGTTTTTTTTTAATAATTTTTTTGTGATGTAGACGAATTTTGTTATAAGTAGTTTTCATCATCTTTACTTACTTTTGCTTATGAACTTTTGTAATCACGTGTTTTATAGATTGGGTAATAGTTGCGGCGCACGTTCTTGTTTTTGTCGATTTTACTTCAATTTCTTTAATTCGATGTCGCGCATTTTCCTGTTAACACTACCCTGCGTAGAGCACTACCACAATTATATCAATTAAAACCGTGGTTTATTCAAAGACCGTAAAGTGAAATTTGAAGCGGAGAAGTGTTTTCATTTTAAACCGTGATAAAAAGGAGGAACAAATTAGTAAACAACCAATGACTTCCAATTAAACTGGTTTTCAGGCATCAAACATATACTTGAATGTATATACCATGAACAGGTGTTTTCTAGCACCGAAGTTAACAGTATACAGTTATTCATATATGAAATAACTGTTTGATTACCTGATCGATTACTGTTCTAACAGTACTTGCAGAAGAAAAAATGAACAAGAAAATAATTAAGCAAATATATCTATAATTAAACTTTCTTAATTTATCTTTTAACTATGTCACAACGCCAACATTTTTTATGCCTGTAGATTTTCATACTGTTTTACTCTGTTATTTCGTTAACAAAAACCTGAAAGAAACAGTCATTTTGCAATAATTAAATTCCAGGGGGTATCCTCTATTACGTCAGAGCTAGGGAAACAGTCGAAACTATTGACCGATCAACAGTTCGCGAACATGAACGTTTTTAGACAGAAAAACAGTAAAAAATATGAAATTATTTTTATAAACGGTATCAGGTAATAATATACAGTAATTTAATATGTGATTTGGGAACATTCAAACTATTGGCCCAAGGTGGAGGGGGTAGTGTTTTGAACTGTTGCCCAAGGCCGTAGGCCGAGACCAACAGTTCAAAACACTATCCCCAACACCGAGGGACATCTGTTTGACTGTTCCAAAATCACGTATGAAATAACTGTTTTATTAACTGATCAACTACTGTTTTAATAGTACTTACAGAAGCAAAAAGGAACAAGAAAATAGTTCAAGTGCACATATGTTAATACTTAAACTTAATATTTTGCCACGCTTGGTTCATGATCAAGATCGATAGACGCTTCAAGTGGGAATCATTTATGACGTCAATGACGTCAGAGCACGCGAGGGAAACAGTCGAAACTAGACCGGTCAACAGTTCGCGAATGTGGACGTTTTTAGAATTTCAGAAAATAGTAAGAAATACCAAATAACATTTATATAAGGTATCGGGTAATAATAGTAAATAGCCTTAATCCTGGACTTTTCTATGAAATGTTAAACTCCTGTCCAGTATAGGATAAAGTTATTTGATACTACAGTGTTTAATATGTGATACTCTTATTTAAAAATTCTCTTACAATTTAAAATAACGATATGATTTGATAAAAAAAAGTCTCTTGCATGTCACCTGGAGTACAAAAAAGAAATATACGCAATTCAGGGCGTGTGACAATGTGATATTCATTCACGATGTAATTGGGTCACAGCAAATGGTGTTTGCCTTTATCATTTTATCTTTCAATATTTGATTTATAATTACTAAAATCAAAACCTGTTCCAGGTCGTACATATTTTTCTTATGTAGCTCTTGTATTTTCACGATAGGCTTGCATAAATTGTGACATATTTTGTCATCAAAATATTTCAGCATAGACAAATGTCTGCATGAATAACATGAAAAGTAAAAGAGCTACATTGGAAAGTGATATACCATTTGGAACGGCAAATATTTTCCTGTAACCATGTAATGATGGAAATATATAGAGGACATTTGTTTGTTATTGTGCAAAATGAAATTTATTTAACCGAGTGACCTTAAAAAACAGTTTTCTCAAGAGTGGCGTACTCAAGAGTGAGCATACTGTTTTTGAAGTTCACTAGATGAAATAAAATAACATCGTACACACCAAACCAACGAATTTTCTTTTTGTTGTATGCTTAGTAATCAATAGCAGTGGAAAGTAGTGTATTTTTCAGCCTGTTAAAATGAAATAAAAAAATGAGAAATATTTGGTGATTGATAATTTAATGAATAGAAATAAGTCTTGTCTTTTTATTACGTTTGAAATATGGGTTATTTATCGCTTTTAGCTTTGATTTTCTCTAAACAGATACCACATAGTGAACATCTTTAAAAAGTAGTCTCGTCATTGAAAAGTGTGACACTTGATTTTGATAATTGTCGCTGTGAAATTTTCAAATATAATTATCACGGATAAAACAATAATCCACTCAAAAGCATAAAATAAATGTTTATTATTCAAATATTGATAAGTTCGAAAAATAAGCAAATACATATAGGTGTAAAAATATCAAATCCGAAGTAAATCTATCTTTATCAAATACATTATATCATTTTCTCGTATCAAATACACAAATACTTAAAAAATTGCGGACGACCTACCGCTTCTGATAGCCTAAAATATACTTCCGTCCGAGTTCACAGATATAAAACCATCATGATGTTACTTTTTATTTTATTTTTTTTTTGTTTTATTTATTAAATTAAACGATCATTCATGGGTATTATTTGAAATAAATAATACCATCGATATCTAACGTTGATTTTTGAACATACATTTTCTAGCTCTAAAATCCGTGTATTTTGTGACAAAATGGTCTGAAAGTGAGGTTACAAGTGAGAAAAACAGACTTTAGCATTCAAGTTTATATTCAAGAAATATCATTTAACTGTAAAATAAAACGAAAATTTGTTCATCGTTTGTGTAAGATGTAATTCTCCTTTACATCGACCACTCGTGTAATTTTTACCCAAACTATAGAACACATGTCATGATAGTTTATTTTAACACTCAATAGAGAAATATTTTTGTGTGAACTGATACACAACTAATAGAAAAAGGCCATGATCAACCGAATATCTGAAGATAAAAACATGTCTACTGTGTATTTTAGTTCTAAAGATTTAAATGGTCGCTTATTTGGAAAACTTTGCGCGTTGCATTCTTAATAGCGACAACATAACCTATATAGTTTTCGCCTTTTTGTCTTGTCGCTAGCAACACGCGACAAACGGCGCGTTGTCGCACTGTCGTCTTGTCGTCCTGTCTCTCACGAAACACGCCAAACGGAGCATTGTCGTGAGGCGCGTTGTTGAGATGTCACCCTGTTGCTGGGCTTCCTTATATACAAATAGCAAAACCTTCGATTTGTATGGTTGCTAATTTTGAAACGCTTTTGTGCGACGTGTTGTCGCTATAGACAGCACGACAAAGCGCCAAAAGGCGCATTGTCGGTTTTTCGTCTTGTCGTTCTATCAACAACGCAACGCGTAAAGTGTACCAAATCATCCACCACAGATTTGAACTAAGCGACAATATGACATCGAGACAACCCGCCGCACGACAACCCGCCGTTTGGCGCGCATCAATTTAAGCGAGCAGGATTGTATTGTGTCGTAAAACACACGTTCATGTAAAAAATAACACCCGACCATACTATCCACAATCATTACTGCTACTATTACTACTACTTCTGCTGCTACTACTACTGCTTCTGCTACTACTTCTACTACTACTGCTGCTGCTGCTGCTGCTGATACTACTACTACTACAACTACTTCTACTACTGTTACTACGACTGCTACTTCTAGTACTGCTACTACTTCTGCTGCTGCTACTGCAACTGATATTGCTACTACTACTACCACTACTACTACTTTAACTACTAAAATAAAGGTTATCGACATCAAAACTGATATAAATTACATAAAAAAAAACAAAATATTAAGACAGCAATCGTTTCTTAAATGTATCATTCTTTATATATATTTTACCATGGAATGATTTTTGTCGTTGTTTCAGGTCTGACATGCTGGGATTCTAAATGGTTTAATGAGTCATCTACCTTAAAAAACGGGTAGGCATATTAGACACTTGAACCAAAATAAAAGAATCCGAAAAACGTATTTTTTATAATGTGAACAGACAAAGCTTGATTTTACATTTAAAGATTTTAAACTGATATAATTGTACTTAAAACATTTTTTTAGACCATAATCATCATTAATTTATTTGACGGCATCGTCTTATTTACAAGCTAACTTACCGTTATTGATAACACTTTAAAAAAAATGTTTTCACATGCTTGAAAATCGATATCTACATGTATATATATTTATATATATGATCAAAACATTTAACCTTGTATTTCAGATCGAGTTATGAGTTTCCGTCGGTTAAAGTGTTAGACAAGATTTGTGTAGATGGTTCAGCAGTTATTGCTGCACGCTGTAAAGACGAAAAAGGAGAGCCATTTAATATCACGAAGAACGACACTATTAACCATTACTATGCAGTATGTAATCAAATCAACGGACTTATATGTCATCCATATATGAATGTAAGAAACGCAACTTGTCCAGACTTTGCTATACAGTATGGTTGCAGAGGCCCACCTACGGCACACACTGGAGGTAATATCTAATTGAATAGTGTACTTCTCTTTTCTCCAAAATGTATCTTACTGTATAATGCATCATCAACTTTACACACGTCCACAGATGAGATAACAGAAACAACAAAAACACACAAAAAAAACCCTGCCAAAAATACCCGAAACACAAAACAAAACTAAACAAAGAAACACAAACAACAGCACAAAAAAACCCACCAAGAACAAGAAGCAATTAAAAGAAATCTGCTGTTATAATATATAAAATTATGTAATATCCAGTTAAACGATTTCTTTAATTTGTTAACACTACCTGTTAAAATATGAATGTTGCTTTGCCATATAAATATAATAATTACTCAAAAATCTCTTGAATCGGATGAGTTTTTACATTGCTTAAACATATGTTACAATAACTCTTAAAACTATACATAACTTTACAGGAACTGGTGCGCCAAATGGATGTGTTAACGTAACTACTAATTATACGACCACCGTTTATGACGGGAACGGAATTACATCTGCCCGCAAACATCATTGCAAGAACAATGCCCAGGGTTCTAAAAGCGTTGGATTGTTGTTGGCTTTTTCGACATTGGTGTTGAAATTGGTCTTACAAGCATTTAGCATCGACTATAAATGAATGCACCCACAATACAATGAATATTCATTGTTTTCTAGACGTTATATTATTTATTTGTTGTTTCTAAATTCTCTCATTACCATGATTTCCAATTATTGATAAACAAAGATGTCATATTCTGAACATAATTATAATTTCATTATTCTGTGTGACACATGAATTTTCACATAAATATTATTTTTTAAGAAGGGTTGTTTGAATTCTTTCAGATCCATTTTATAATCAAGAATTAGATTTTACATTATTTACATTATATTCCTTTTCCGGCTGAAGAACATCTAAAATCAGTTTGACTTCCTGTAAATTTTACAGGGATGAACTGAATATAAAGAGAATTTTCATTGGTCATTTTTAAATAACAAACGCAAATCTTGGATTCTCATTGGCTGTTCAAAAATATGGAAAATAAAGGCTTTGTTCTGAAATAATTTAATCATAAGAAGTAAGTTCAAGAAACTTTCTTCTCACTTTTCCAATTTTTATAAGTTATTTTACTTACCGGGTTAAGTTTCTCAGATATTCAAGTTCAATCTTTTAATGATCCCGCACATTGTTTTACACTGCTTTGCAATCTCATTATTGAGTTATACATATTGACCTAAGTAACGAAACCACCAATATTTTGAGAATCCCTTAAGTCATGCGAATGAAAATATCGAAAATCACACAACAATAAAAACGAATTTATCAGGCACTCTAAGTAATTTATTACTCAATAAATTGCATTTCAGTGTAATCCGACTTGTATGGGATTATGGATAATAAGAGGACACTATTTCGTTTGAGAGAAATATGGAATATATTTTCACGAAACATGACAAAATGCCACATATTTTCACGAGCCGAGACGGCGAGTGAAAATATGTGGCATTTTATCATGTTTCGTGAAAATATATACCATGTATACCATATTTCACGAAAAACGCAAAAATAATCCTTTTATTTCATTTCATCATCAAAGAAAATTGTAACGAAACCCCTTGCTTGCGATGCAACTGCAAATTGTACAGCGCACAGTAATATAATTATTGTCTTTTTTTGCACCCGATATTAAGCGCTACATTGTGACGTCACGTAAAAAACTCTTTAAACGTCAGTACAACGTTAACAACTGAATTAAAGATATTTGTGTTCGGATTTATTTTCTTACTTAGACCATTTCTATCATTCTAGATAGTTATCAAAATAAAATTCAGCAAAAAGTTGTTTGTAATTATCAGATTTTTCAAACAAAATGGCGAAAGAAGTCCGGAGTTTTGACTCCGCCCACTTTCATATTTATAGTTCATATTTATTTTTAAAAAAGATATGAGATATATTTGACTGATATAGCACCATATTTCATGGGTAAAATTAAATAAATGTTTGTAACCGTCAATATGGGTTGAAAAAAACAATTAGTTATATACTTTATAATTATCATTCTTAGCAATTACATATCACTTTCAAAAGTAAAACATTACGTATTATTGAGAAGAAAAAAAATCAACACACACGCACACGCACACACGCAGGCGCACATTCACAGAGAGAAAACACAAAACAAACCACACACACAAAGAAAACCCAAAACAAACAGATAACAATCGAGATAAATGCATCCATTAAAGATCCTGTATGTTTTGTGATTGATATTGTTACTGTGTGAATACCACACTTGCAAAAAGGTATATATGTATATAATTATGTAAATAAAACAATTTTCAAACATCAAAGAATATGTAAAATGTGTACTGCAAATATTTGTGCACATTATATTTAATCAATAAATTACATGCATTCATTTCTTATTGGAAAATTTGACTTAGAATTTATAGAAAACAAATTTTTAATTACCTCCATTTATTTACATGAAATGTTAAATTGGGTAATATCTTTATAAATAATGCTTTTTGGAACTTACAATATTGACAAATCTTAATTTGAGCATCATTTTTATGAAATAAAACCATGAAAAAAATGTGTTACAGGATCTTTAACAACTGATTTGACAATGAAGAGTAATTGACTTGAGTGATTCAGAACCTTCTGATAGCCAAAATATTTCAACATCAAAAGCTATATTCTGAGGCATATTTTGTTCTGCGTCGGAATATCGCTTCCCTATACATCGTAGCGCTTAGATAATGGTCATATACAAAATAACACAATAAATCAACTCGTAGTACAATTTTTTGGAATAACCTTCTCATAGTCTTCATAACTGTTAGTAATCATAACTATGAATTTGCATAATGTTCAGGCCATATCATTTAATAGAATCAGTTCAGTTCTGTTTTATCTAATATCAAAACGGTCGTGAAATGCTCCACAACCACGTGCACATAGGCTTGAAGGAACCAGCACATTTAATTTCACGTTATTCACGTATTTGTCAGCATACCCTTAGTGTTTTGTCATCGCGGTCACATAAGAAACGTTTTTATGTAAATATTATTTTTTTTTTCCCTTTTTTTTTTACATTTCGGACCCGATTTTTCATTTTAAATTTTGGGAAAGTAAAACAATGGAAAAGCAATTTATTTATAGAATTTAAAATTTTATTGCTTTTAAAAAAAAAATATATCATGAAAAATCCCAAAATTAAAATGAATGGTTTTGTTTCATGTTTTGGTTTTTGTTTTAAAAAAAATTATTTTAAATCTTTTTTTTTAAAAATTTTGGGCAGGGTTTCATTCACTTTAAAAAAAGTTAAATATTCTTAAAAGTCTTTAAAAAAGAGTTTTGAAAATAAAAACAAGTTATTTTTCAATTTTTTAAAACCACATTTTTTACACGGAAAAGTTTTTGGCCCAATAAAAGTATTGGGAAAATTAATTTTTCCCCTCTTTATTCAATAGGCCTTTTCGACTCCTCTTTCTCGGGGCATTTTTAAAAACATTTTATTACCCAAAGGCCCAAAGCCAAAAGTTAAGTGTTAAACTTTTCAATTTATTATCATTAAGTAAATACTTCAAATGTTCAAAATAATGACAATTGCTTACCCAAACAACTCGATGATTTTTAATAAAAAGATGTATATAAATTGAATATTTGAATGCCCTTCAAGTGGTTTTAGATCACTGTTTAAATTATGGCAATATCATCTGAAAAATAACAGTATTAAAGAAAGCTTCTGATTTTGAAAAGTAACATTTAGTATCACTTTTTGTAAGTTAACGTTCATTGTCTCAACATACTTATATATATATATATATATATATATATATATATATATATATATATATATATATATATATATATATATATATATATATATATATATATATATATATATATATATATATATATATATATATATATATATATATATATATATATATGTTGTATGTTAAAGTTAATGTTGTTGTCTTTTACCTTTACAGTTTAACGATCCATTTATTAACGGTTGATATCCGGTAACTTTCGTACCTTATTAAAAAACAAGAAATATCAAGGAAAAAGGGTTAGATTATATTACAGATATATAATGCTCAAATTTTATAATGTAAACTATTTGTTCATATAAAAAAAAAGATTCTGGGAAAATTAATAAAAATTCACAATTCAAGTTAACATTTACATGTTATTTGCAATCAATCAATGAATGCTTGACTTTGCAGTATATATCATCATATGTTTACTGGTAAGGACAAGTATACAATGTAATTGTATTGCATATTTTGACCTTCACTTTGCAATTGACGTGGACTGATAGTGCCATGTGTATATTACTTTCTTTGTACACTTGACAATATTTTACCTTTTAATACAATTTTAAAATTAGCATGAATCTGAAGGTATGCTACTTTAAACTTTAAAATGAACAATGTGATAATGTCCGGTCACTTTTCGGGCCTCAAAATTCCTCAAGGAATTGGACAGATATATTGTTAAGTATATCACAAAATCAAATTCAAAAGGGTGATTTTCGAGTTTTTGTTATCATGGGTGGTCGCGCGTTTTTTTCTAATAGCATTTTGCAGGCTTCATTGTAGTATACGGTAAGAAATGTTTTTATTTTTTCTTTATTTTAAAAAATTGTTCTTTTTCTTTCTGATTTGTTAATGATGCTTTGTGAAGAAAGTTTTGTCTTTTTTACATTTATGTAAACATTGAACATAGCTTAAAATAACTACCAAATGAATATTTAAGGCTATATTAGAGATCCAATAGAAGTTTAATGGAACGAACAATACGTTAGGTACCAAGAGAAGAATTGAAATGATAAAATATAAAAATGACTAGAAATGATAGTTATCATAATTTGTTTAAACCGTATATCAGTATGAGGACAGAATTTAAGAGTGAACAGTCTATACCTTGTATAAAATCATCCATTTCAAGCAGAACAAAATTAAATCATTTTAAGTGGATTAATTTATAATGGGCACATAAGTATTTCAAAAACTGATGAAAAAAATAGAAATGTATCATTTTTATTTCTTATAAAAATGCTGCTTGAATAAAATATGTTGATAATGTTGTAAGTGATTTAGAATTATCTTTTAACTGATGAATAATAATATTTTGTTCCAGAACACTTTTATACATGTATCTTCTACATAAATAAATGTAATATCGGACCATATATCTCACACTTGCTAACAACTTCTATGTTAAATTATTTCTTGGTTTGTTGTTATGTCTAATACTAAATATTATCAGCGTAATTTTTCATCGTATTACCAGATCATTTCAGTTGAATTTGCGAGCAATTATCAGTGTTTATATGTTGGTTTTATTTAGGCCAGACAACGATTCCAACAATATGCTGGGATACCAAATGGTTCAACAGTTCGGCTCCATCAAAGTTAAATAGGTAAGATACACGTTGTCACTTTATAAGAAACCATGCAATGTGCCGGAAAAGAAATAATGTTTCCACGTAGTTGTATCTTTTATTTTATTTTCGGCAGGCCAAACTGTTGAATGTGATTACAAAATTATTTTCGTTTCCGTTAATAAAATAAAAAAAATATTTGCATTAGTTAAAGATCCTGTAACACAATTTTTTATGGTTTTATATCATTAATATGATGCTAAAATTACGATTTACAAAATGTATCAATATTGTAAGTTCCAAAAAACATTATTTATAAAGATATTACCGAATTTGACATTTCATGAAAATAAACGGAGATAATAAGAAATTTATTTTCTATAAAGTCTAAGTCAAATTTTTCAATGAGAAATGAATGAATATATAATAATCATTACATATATTGGTCAACAAATATTTGCAGTACATATTTTACATATTCTTCGATGTTAGAAAATTGTTTTATAAGCATTATTATATACATATATAAAATTCCACTTAAGTGTGGTAACATGCACAATTACAATTTACAGGATCTTTAAAAGGCTGACTTTACTTTTGTACAATAATAAATTAAAGGACACTGTAATTTAAGTACATGAGTAAAACATGCAAAGTACCATTGATGAACACGGTATTCGACAAAATACTAAAAATAATTATACAACGTCCCAATAGAAATACTAATGATAATTATTGTTAAAATCATTTAATGTTATTTTCCTAAAAGGTCATTTTGTAATTATGTAATAAAGAGAAAGTGTTATAGTAATCGAAATATCAATTCTATTTTAGACTTAGCTTTTAATTACGATTAAAAAGTATTCAATTTAGACGTCTACTATATATTCACTTACTTAATTAGCAATAATTTTAGCGGCTTTTTAAAGGACATTTTCTTGGGTTGTTTGTTTTGCAAAAAAAAAAATAGTAACAAAAATAAAATAAATAAAAATAATAATAAAAATAAAATAAAATAAAATGTAATTATATTTTATAAATGATCATATGAGAAAATGAAATAATATATCGTGGGATCTTAAATTCGTTGATTGATCTTTCCATGGAAATCACGAAAATTAGTGTACAACAAATTATAATGAATTACTTTTCCCTGCAATACAATTCAAAATGTATTTGTTTTACTTAAGATCCGAATACGAGCAACAGTCAGCGAAAGTTCTGGATTCTGTATGCTCAAATGGACCAATAACCGCTGCAAGGTGCAAGGATTCAAAAGGCGAATCCTTTACCGGCTTCAGGAATGACTCCGTCATCAAGTATATCGCAAAATGTGACGTCACAAATGGACTTATCTGCAATCCATACAACACCTCAAAGGACTCTATATGCCCAGATTTTCAGATACAATACGGCTGCACGTGTCCCAGTAAGTTTGAATAAATAAACTAGTGAAAGACCTTGCTAGTGGACAAGGACGGTATCTTCCACTTTCCAGTAACATCCATGTATAGGGTTTATTAAACTGTGTCTGTAACATATTCAATTTTGGCCGTTTTTTTGCGCTCTATAGTTAATGGTTTTTTCACTATTTTGTGTATTGACATGAATATTTAGAGAACTATTTAAACAAACAGATATTTTGCCATTGGTTGTAATATATTGTTAATTCTATCGTTTAATTCTGCTTTATGTTCACATTATCGCTATTGTGTCTTGTTCAATATGCTGGTCAAAACGTTTTGGTCTATTTTTCGGCAGAAAAGTTATCCGCTATTGTCTCCTGGAATAGTTCCTGATCATGAATTAGTCTTATATAAGTAATATCATTTATATACATTTATATCTAGATCTAATTTAGGAGACTGACTAACTTGATTTATTCAATAATTTGATAATTATCATAACAATAAGGGTAAACCAAGTTTTAATCAAAGAAAGACTTAATTCCGAGATCAGTCTTAAGACAAAAATTTAGACAATGTTGTGTTTCAAAGAAAATTTCCCAACTTATGACATCTAAATTATGGCTCTTTTAATTTCTGAATAGCAATGCTGATTTGCATTTACATATTGCGGATAACAAAGTCTGTCATAGTATTTCTTAAATTTTCCCAGAGGAATGAATATTTGTATATTTAATTGAAGATAAAAATGTATATTGAAACGTTCTTTAGTAAGTCGTCCTAGGACTTATGACTTTCTATGAAACGCAGTCAAGAACTCTCATTATGAAATTACCAATTGGCAGTTTTAAATTCGAAGCAAAGATAACGGAATTAAAGCAATTAAATGGTTGATTATTGGAAATATGCCTAGGGACATCATACATGTAGAATATAATATAAAAATGTTTCCATTTTCCTAGATGATAACGATTTTAATCCTGCACCTACCAGAATGAAGGAAACCTTCTTCGATGTGTCTCTGACATGAAAAAGTACCACAGTTATTCAGAGTCAGCGACTTTATTACAGTTCCATGTGAACGTTGAGTTCAAACAAATATGAACAATTTGTGGGTTGAACTTTGAGTACTCCTTTGTTTTCCTTCTCATATCCAGTCAATTGTTTAAACACATATGAACAAATGCATTTTAATGTAATTATTGTGTTTTTTTCTCTATTATAGGTACAACACCAACTCATTCAGGAGGCGGTGCTCATGCGATAGGCGGTGGTGGAGGTAATGGGAGTGGTTTAAGAGGTGGCGGAAGCGGTGGTGGAGGAACTACAAGTCGGGTAAATTCTTCAATGCCTGGTACCGGACACAATGCCGGACCGGGAAGTAATGGATCTGGAACCGGAAGTGGTACAGGGCAATCAAGTGGATCTGGAACCGGAAGTGGTACAGGGAAATCAAATGAAACTGGAAACGGTTTTCAAAAGAATTGTGTCAATTACTTTCTTCTGTTTATTTGTACAATCCTGGAACTATGTAGAGTGTTTGCCATATAATTCCTACTTGTTTAATTTCGGGTGTTATTGTTTTTTTATGACTTTCTTTGCCAACAATGTTTTGTTTATATAACAGAATGAAATCAAAACGTGAAAAACTTGTCACATAGATATATTTTGAGAAGAAATAAAAAAGAATAGGAAACATGATATATCAACAACACTTATAATACAAACACTGATTGCGAGGTCAGTGACAAATATCATAAAAAACGTTACACTATTAGAAATAAAATTCACAAAACCTTTCGGAAAACGTGATTATATTAAACGCACATTATCTCCTAGAACTGCTTTTTTCTTTTATCCTGAAAAAACTTATTATTTTGGTTTCCTTTTCTTGTTTTCAAAAAAAAATGTTTTTTGGCTAATCAACTGAATCATATTTTGTGTATGTTGTTTTTGGTGTATAAGTTCAGTTTTGATGTTTTATTTTTTTTAAGAAGGTCAAAATACTACTATCTTTACATTTTGCTATTTTTATGACAAATCATCTTACAGTCATAGCTAAATTATTCAGGTAATAAACATCTAACATGCTCTAAAACCAGTTATTTTGACATTTCTAAAACTTATGTTCAACCTTTTTCAACTAGTTTAATTCGTTTCTTTGACATAATGAGGCTTTAAGCAAAAGATTTTCTGTCATAAAATAAGGCGTTCGGAAGGTATAGTCATGTATATTTCCTTGTACATGTAATTGCATGCGAGAATTAAGGACCGCTGTTGATTATTAATGCGGCCAAATTTATCCAATGATATTATAACACTAACTTTACTTGAATTCTCCAAGTTGTAATAACAAATGCGTTTTTAGAATACAAATGCTGTTAAAAAAATAACATGACAATTATCTTTATGCTGACTGTTGTTAGGTAATTCTATCACAGAGCTATCAAATTTGTAGTATAAATGTATGTCTAAACATGTTCTTTGAGGAAAAAATCCACTTTTCTAAGTCCGAATAGTTTTGGCTTTTCCATATTCAATTATATTCATTACAGTTATAACACCGTTTGTTCTTTCAATCTATTATTTGTAGTGGTTTAATTAAGCCCATTTTTATCCAAACATATTTATAACCAGTAAAAAAGCAAGACAGTCGGCTGTTATACCATTATTAATGTGTTGTCATGTCGAATCATAACACAATCATAAGTCTTAAATGTGCATACATTTTAAATGACATTTGCATTCAATTTACAATAAAGGACTCTGAAACTTTCCAAATGTTTTTCTTTATAAACTATTTCAAAAACATACGTCTGTACAATTTTGTAAGCATGCCTTCTTGAAATTATTACGTCTTGTGATCCTACGTGAGCATTGAAAAAAAAACCTGAACAAATTGCCGAATAGGGTACAAAGATAATATGCAACATCGCTGATGCTCTCTAGCAGCACCGCTAGGTAATAGATGTATTCAATCCTAAACACTAAAATATTGGGATCTTTAATCCTAAAAAGGCAAGAAAGATGTTTCAATACTAAAATAAAGAAAAGGTTAACGTTTTAAGTTGCATCAAATTATTTCGTATACCTAGACATATACTGATAAAAAACTCAAGAAATACAATGTAAGTTACATGTGTATCTTAACGTTATGCAAGGCAATTATCATCAGTCCATGAACGTTGTAGTTTTATAATTATATGTTGGCTACATAATTGGTGGAATCTAATATTTTTATCTTCTTTTTCTAGAATTAAGGTAAGCCTAAAAACATGAATAAAATATGATAAACAAGATCAACAAGGAAAGGCGGCGTTCAATGAACGCAACCCCCATATGACCCAACAACAAGAACCAACGGCAAGGAGCCCAGGCGGACCCCGAACAAAAACAGAACAGGGCAAAGACAGGGCACGGACAGATTAATCATTAAATGATAAATAATTTGGAACTGATTAGGAATTCAACGAAAATTATAATAGAACCACAAAGGGGAAGGGGACAAGAGACCGGGGGAAGGGGGGGGGGTATCAAAGAAATAAAAACTAGAGGCAATGGGGAAGATACTTACCGTAGACGAGAAAACAACAAGTGACACTAGCAAAAGTGTCACCAAAACAGTATAAAACAACATAGACATACATCTAAGGAACACAGTAGGCGCCGCCTTGGAACGGTCAGCAGCATAATAATGACTGCTGGGGAGTGTAAACTGGTTAATGGTGCACCAAACCTCGCTCTTAGCCCCACCATGTTCCTATAAACGAGACAGTGTAAATAAAATGAATCCCCGCCAAGTGAAATTCTAACAGTTGTCATAGTTACAAAAGGTTAAATAAGTAAAACACTAAAATGATCATTAAGAAATAAATGAGAACGAACGTATCTTTCTTTAGAGCCAAATGTTAACCATATCAAAATGATATGTACTATGCAAACATGTATTATAATATATAATTAAAAAGTAGCAACAAGCTAATAATAGTGTATCAGCTATTTCATCATAACATATTATGATTTCATAACGATATTTAAATGATGATCTAGATACATTATAAATAATAAAGTTTTCGCCACGGCGTAGAGTAATTGTCATTTAAATTGTGAATATAATACTAAATAATTGACAGAATTTAAGAACTAAATAAATACGGTACGTAATGAAAATATTTCTCAGATCCAATGGACGTTACTTGTCTCAAGGTTAATTTTTGGAAAAAAAAAACCCGCAAATTTATGTTTCATCAAACTTCGTAATACACACCTGGTAAGCGATTGAGCTTCCTCTTTCGAAGGTATACTGTAAAGCGCTTTATCGCTACTTCCGAGCTAGTGCATGTTTAATGATGAAGCTGTCAATTGCATCATTTAATTCGCCAACTGGGAAACGACGCTATAACTTCATTTAAACACAAATTTATTAACTCTACGTTTCATGTAAACTTTAAACAAACCTACATGGTATAGCATTCTTTAAATTCGATATCTGGTTTACAAAATGAATGAGAAAAAATGACAACGCTTAACTTTAGTTGACACTTGATTTTAGCCACATTCACTAGCTCGGAAGTAGCGATAGAGCAATTTATCGCCGTAATACCTTCCAAAAGCGGTTACTCTTTCGTTTTACGTTATTTGGGGCATTTCGCAAAACATTTCGGTATTTTTTGGGATAAAAGTTTGTAACCAAATCCTTTCACGTCCCATCTTTCTAACCTTTCAAAAATAATAAACCCTTTTAAAACACACCCGGGGCCTTTTATGGTTTTTTCTTAGCAGAGGTTTTTTTTCTCCCAAACCAAATTTCCCTTTTAAAAGCCAGGCGAGGGCGGAAAAAAGTAGGAGTTTTATTGATCATTTTACCCCTTTGTCCATAGAAATATTTACTATTCATTCCTCGCAAACGCCTTAGATCGCACGGTCAATTAAATGAAACAGTGACTTGAAAAAAAATATTAATAACATATTTCTCCATTCTTAAGACATGTTAAAAGCCAACCTTGGATATGCGGCAAGCATACATCAATTTTATCCACCCTTGCTGAATAGCTTTTAAATACCCGGATAGTTATAATCTCATAAAAATGTAAAGTTTATGTTGAAGGGACGGTGAATATTCAAGCATTTTGTTAGATAATGTTTTCACCATGATAAGAATTGCTATGTCATTGAAGCAATGAAGAATTAGGTATTAAATAATTTTGACATTATTAAGTTATGAAAGGAAGTTTCTTAATGGTGGAGGACAGTAACAAAAAGGCTTTTGCATGAATGCATCTGACATCTTAAGGACAAAAAAGACCTATCAATAATCAGTTTTCAATTTTAAATAAAAAATATGCATACAATTGTCATTCGCCATTTCCACTTCAGAATGTCAGCCATTGTAACAAAAAATTCAAAACTTAATCCCTCTTTTATACATAGGCCTGTCACACTGCATTAAATAAAAAGCGGTGTATTTTATACATCTATGCAACATTTGAATATAAATTTACTAAAAGAATAACGTTTAAAGGAAAATGACGGGTAATGTAACCCCTCAGATAAAGTCGTTTTTACTGATTTAAGACGTGTAAATTAAATTATTAAAACTAATAAATGTTCGTCATATGACTTCAAATCACTTGACCCTCATCGCTGTGGGTTCGAATCCCGATAGGGACTTTGGCTTTTTTTCATCTGGTGAAAGCTATCCAGCAAGCTTATGGAACGTGGTAGTTCTACTCAGGTGCCTGTTCGTGTCTGAAATAATTCATGGAAGGGTCTTCCTCCACCAGTTAAGCTGGAACGTAGCCATAAGGCCTGTATCATTGTGTCTTAAAACCCAATGAAACAAACAAACAAAACAAATTTTCCGGCCAAGCTGTCTCTTTAAATAAGACCTTTTAAACGCAATAGCAGCAACAGTAAAAGACAATGACATCATTATCATCCCCCTCCTTCTCTTCTTCTTCTCCTCATCATCACCCCAACACCACCAGCATCATCAACAGCAACATCAAAAGGCAACTGGAGAAGGTACAACAACAACACCAACAAAAAGGCAACTGGAGCTGCTACAACAACACCAACAAAACGGCAACATGATTAGCTGCAACAAATAGCAACAATTACAGCTGCAGCTACAGGAAAGGGCAATATAAACAACAATAACAACAGCAGCACGAACAAGAAAAAGAGCAAACAGAAGCAATACCAACAGCAAATGAAACAACAAACAACAGTACCAACAATATAAGACAGCAAGTAAGGTACAGCAGAAGCATCGGCGGCGAAAAAAATGTTAACAATGCCTCAGTGCAAGAGATTGCGTGTATTTCTTTATGGAAGTTTGAAACGTTTGCAATAGTGTGAGACAGTCATGGTTATTTTTGTATGCTCCGTCAGGGCCTCACTTTATTTAGACTTGAATTATAAAAGTCGCATATTAAGATCAGTTCATTACTTTTTTATTACATTTATGCAGTAGTCATGGAAATCTACGTAGTACGTTTGCTAATTATTGTAGGCATCATTTTAGCGTTTGGTGAGTAAAGAATTATCATTGAATTTTTCTTTTTAATTTTCTTATATCATCGTTGTTTAATAGAAGGAAATAAACATTTTAATTTCCTGATTTTCAATTACAAACCATTTTAAGATTTACATGCTATACTTTAGGAGACGTTTAACATTGAAACTTAAGTAAAAAAACAAGTTATTATATGAATTCCTATGAGGATTTGGTTTACATAATATGACTTTATTTTCTGAAATTTGAATACATTTTTATACCATTTGATTTTGGTCTATTTAAGTAACTTGTGTGCAAAAGTTCTGATC